CTGCCCTTAGCTCAGGCATGCAGGTAGAAGGGTGTGCTTAACAAGAAAACCCCTCCTCCCCTCTTAAAGACTCCTAGCATTCATGACATCATTTGCTTAGGCATGGAACCCAGGAAGTAACTGAAAAAATTAAAAAAAAAAAAAGAGAGAAAAAGCTTAAAACAAGTAAATATAATATTTTCCTATCTATTTACGAATGCTAGCAGCAGAAGGATAGGTAATGTTGATTGAGAGAGTGAGGTTCCACTTTAAATCACTTTAAATGATTGAAGGGCAAGGTTCTGCACCTGCGCCGATGCCACTGCTTACTGAATGAGTCATTTGAGAGGATGTAAACTACAATATGCAGGCAGCGGTGCAGGTGCAGAATGACTGTACATAGTATGCGACACAACTCATTCCAAAATAAAACGCATGTATGCCCATATGTGATGAGATGCATAAAAAAAACAACTTGCTGGCAGCAAGATCCTGCGTACATTTTAGAATGTTGTGTGCATCAAGACTTGAAATTAAATGATTCAAACCACAATGGAGAGATGCTTGAACCATGGAGTGTTATGCCTAGTACACATGATCGGAAAATCGTACCAAAAAGTACCGCTTTAGAAGTAATCATACGATAATCTGATCGTTAGTACACAGCTTTCGTACAAAATTATTAGAAGGGACAAGCGTAACAATGTTTCTCGTACAATACCAGATTGAATGATTTCCGGTTAATCAGTACAGTTTTCGCCCTAAAATACAATACCTTACTTTTTCATTTTTATTCTATCGTACAAGAATTTTTGTAACTTTAGTAATGTCTTCACTTTCAATATGAGACTATCATGCAAAAAAAACCAAAAAAACGGACGATCATTCGTCCGATATTTTCATCATGTGTACGGGCTTCATAAAGTTATGATTCCAGTCACTGGCTATCGTTCTACTTTCCAAACAGTTCAAATTCCTTCACCTGAAGCTCTAGGAAACTTGATCCAATTCCATTTTCTGGCAGGGGGTTAGAAAAGCATCATTGTTATCCTACAAATGAGGGCGGGGGGGGGGGGGGGGGGGGTTCGGGGTTGAGAGTCAATTACCTGGGACAATATGATGATCAGATTTTCCTAGGTCAGACTCTGTGTAAATATCTCACACAGGAAATGGGATTATATTCCTTTCAATGGGGACGATTAAAGAATATAATAGGCAATTGATTTCTAGTTAAAGAGACATGGCTAAACAATAACCACACTGATATCTATGGGAGGCATTCAATAAAACAATTGTGACAGTCAGTATGATCCTTTGAAAAAGTTACAAGCCAAATTCATGAAAGCTTTGGGGAAGGTTTTGATAAGAATTCCAACATGAGCACCAGAATGAGTTAGTTGTTGGCCTACAGACAGACCAGACTTATTGGGAAAGGTGTCTGTCTTCAACCTTATTAATGTGCTTTGTAGTTACTTCACTGGTTGCTGGGAAGAAGGCCGCCAGCATCCTAGTAACCAACGATGCAGGCTGATCACTGACAGTAGGACAAGCTTGATGGGGATGCTCAGAGACAGGGGCGAACTGACAACTCATGGGGCCCCTGGGCAATAGTGGATCATGGGGCCCCTGTATCATTGCCCAAACTCAAAAAAAGCCTATGAAAAAGGTACCAGGGGCATCTCATGGGGCCCCCTACTGACCCCAGGCCCTTGGGCAGTGCCCGAGTTTCCAAATGGTCAGTCCGCTCCTGCTCAGAGACTAGTTCCCCACCAGGTCTGCCTTCCTTGTAACTGAGAGCAGAAGGCAGTGGATGGACTCCATAGCCATCACTGGGATTAACCATGTTCATGAATGGAATATGCAATCCACCCACTGCCATTTGCTGTGAATCACATGGGAAGCGGACCTGAAAGGGAACTAGTCTCAGAGTTTACTATCAAGGTCCATCTACCCAACAAAATCAACTCCACACCGTTCCCCATCAAGGTCCATCCACCCAAAAATCAACTCTATGCCCACTGCTCCTGTTGGGTGCTGTGTGAAGACTAAATCTCCATCAAGTATTGCTTGTGATTGAGAGCGGACAGCAGTAGGTGGTAACCACTAGTGACTATGACTAAACATAAAAATAGAATCGCACTACAAAGGCTTAGTAAACCGCTGGTACAACCATTGATACAAGTAGTATACCCAGTATAATTCCAAAAGTGCTGCGCTAAGAATGACAATAAAACATGTATACATAAAATATCAGTAACTATTCAAATAAATAAAGTGATCAAAGTGAAAAAAAGAAAGTTAAAAAAAAAATTGCAAGTGACACAAGCAATCCCAAATGGTGCAAATGCAATTGGATGGAAGCAATTAATCCAAGTGTTGATTAGTGCTGCAGATAACGACACCTCATGTGCATCACCATAGGACTCTCAACAGAGCAAATAGGCTCTTTAAGGTAAAAAGTGTCAAGTGCACTTGTGTATCCAAATGGTTCTTCACTCGGTTCCGCTACAACCTCATAGATGTCACATCAATAAACAGCCAATATGAAATCATGTGGAAGAAAAAAAATCCAAGGAAGCCACACTGGGAAACCGCACTCAAAATTTTATTAAAACAATTCTCTAATTACTCACAATATAAAAAAATTTGACAAGCGCTCATCTGTAAAAATCCCAGAAATCGAACCAACAACTTCCTGGTTGTAGAATGCGTGGTGGCGTCATGAGTGATACCTTCTCCCTACACGTTTCGTCACATCTGATGTCATTGGGGGTAGGTGAGGCGTCGTTGTCTTCAGCGTTAAAGTGTTTCTAAAGTCTCAAGGTTTTTTACCTTTGTGCATTCTATGCATAAAGGTAAAACGCTTCTGTGTGTAGTAGCCCCCCCCCTAACACTTACCTGAGCCCCCTCTTGATCCAGCAATGTCCATGAGAGCCTTGGTTTTCTGGGGACTCTCACTCCTAATTGGCTGAAGCAGCAGCAGGAGCCATTGGCTCCTGCTGTTGTCAATCACAGCCAGTGAGTCAAACATAAGAGGGAAGGAGCAGGCAGAGCAGAGCCACAGGTGTGTGTGTGTGTGTGTGTGAATGGAGCCGTTTGCTATGGGGGCACGCGGCAGGGGGGAGGGGTCAGGAGCGCTGGCAGGGGACATGAGAAGAGGAGGATCCAGGCTGCTCTGTGCACAACCACTGCACAGAGCAGGTAAGTATAGACATGTTTGTTATTTAAAAAAAAAAAAAAAAAAAACAAGAATTTAGTATGAATTTAATCAACAATGTGGATTAATTACTTACACCCGCTTGCATTTGCACCATTTGGGATTTATTATGTCACTTGCACATTTTTGGACTTTTTTCACATAATTTTATTTTATTTGAATAATTACAGATATATTATGTATGCATGTTTTATGGTCATTCTTAGCGAAGCACTTTTGGAATTATACTAGTGACTATGGCCAACAACAAACAAGGTGGACCTGATGGGAAGCTCTCAGAGTTCCCTATCAGGCTCTGCCCACCCACAGCAAAATTCTTCGCCCATCTTCTCTGTGTGATGGGCGCAGTGGCCGTGCAGGAAGTTCAGTTTTGCCAGGTCGCACTGTGGATGGAAGGTCTGCAATGGGCACTCCATCCTCGGTACTGCCACCCACCATGCCTCCATGAGGCAAATTCATATACCTGTTTCCAACAAGAACATGAATGCAACATTTTTCATGAGGAGGACCAACAGGATTGTAAAGAGTGTTGAAAACTACAAAACAAATAATGGAAAGCTCTGTACTGTACAGTGCCAACAAACCCACTTTTTCCACATTCCAGTGTGATTTGAAATGAATGGGCTGCAAAACTGCACTGCATGGGAGCACGTGGGTATTGCACAGGAACGCGGCATTTCTGTGTGAATCTGGTGAAAACTGGCCTTATTTATCTCCTTGGCAAATTTGGAGGCTGCCATTGCGGACCTCACAGTGTTAGTTGCCTTTCGCCTGTCATGCTGACCCACTGGCTTTAATCCTTGACTGGATCAGGTACATAAGAACTTCTGATCTGCATATTTGTTCTGGGTCAGTGAATCAGAAAATATCCCAGCCAGAGGACAAGCACCGACTAGGCTGAACTCAAAGAGGAAACTATGGGACTTGTTGGAAAAATGTTATAAACATTTGGCGAAATTGACCTTTTTAGTTTTTCCAAATTGGCCGATCATTAAAAATAGACTTTGTGGTTTGTACACTGCATGTTCAGAATGTAAACTGTTCATTTTTTATTATTTGCTTCTTTTCTCAATAAAATTGTTTTTGAAAAAATAAATAAATAAACAGACTTTGGCATTTTACCACATAGTCCAGTGGGGAAATAAAATCTTCACCCTTGCATCTCGTCGTCCTCCCCACCGCAAGGTTCGCATCTTGTTTTGCCTAGGAGATTATAATTAGGGCCAGTTTACACCATGATCACAAAGAAACGAGTGCAAAATTCCTGTGCGATTCCCACGTGCTCCCATGCAGTGCCATTTTCAGTGCACTAAATAAGGGGGAATATCCTCCTGCGCTTAGTATGGGTAAGTCCCTATCTACTAGCTGCAATCACTCAACCTCAACCAATAAGTAATAAATACCGTGCATTAAATAGTGAAGCGCTCTCAAATTATCTAAAAAACTAATATACCCTCTGTGCATACCATAAATACCCACTGAACTTAAACTAATTGATATTATAAGTGATAAAAAACATTATAAACTAAATCAATTAGTGGCAAAAATTCATAAACACCTCTCATATATACCAATATATTATTACCTCTTAATAGATCTGTGATAAAAAATAACAAATATAAAATTCATAATAAATACTCAAATAACAGTGATGGAAACGATTATCATAATAATACTAATTCATGAAAAATGTGACAAATCGTGATACTTGTGACAAACCTAAAAAAAAAATCAAAAAAATATGTAGTGATTCTGCAATAAATTATATAATACATATGGCTTGTGATAAACCCTATAACAAAATAAAAATAGAATAAAATAAATCGCTTCTTAAATCAGTGAAGAAAATATATAAATAGACTCAGTGTTTCAGAATAAACTCAAATAGTCCATGCAAAAATGTGAAACACTCTGTGATCTTCACTTCTAGTGCTCAAGAAAGGAATCCTCCAACGGCAGCAATGCCTGCTCACCTCCCCTCCTCGACCCACACAGGGCCAAAAGGCAAAAGACTCTCCTTGAAGGCAATCCTTTCTCCAGACAACTCAGCCAGGAACCTCAGGACTTCCACTCCACCTCCTCTCACCACGTCATATAGGACACAAACAAAAGCTTCCCATAGTGTAACACCGTTTATTAAAAGTAATATGGCATAACAAACTTTCCCACTCACATGTAATCTTTGAATACAACTCTTGTAAACTTGAATACAATTGTATTCAAAGATTACATGTGAGTGGGAAAGTTTGTTATGCCATATTACTTTTAATAAACGGTGTTACACTACTAGGTTTGTCACAAGTATCACGATTTGTCACATTTTTCATGAATTAGTATTATTATGATAATCGTTTCCATCACTGTTATTTGAGTATTTATTATGAATTTTATATTTGTTATTTTTTATCACAGATCTATTAAGAGGCAATAATATATGAGAGGTGTTTATGAATTTTTGCCACTAATTGATTTAGTTTATAATGTTTTTTATCACTTATAATATCAATTAGTTTAAGTTCAGTGGGTATTTATGGTATGCACAGAGGGTATATTAGTTTTTTTTAGATAATTTGAGAGCGCTTCACTATTTAATGCAAGGTATTTTCAGTGCACTGCTCTTCAAAACATGGAACATCAAACCGCATGGTACGGCAGTACTATGCGACTTGGTGCACTTGCAATCTACGTTTGGAGTGCCACGAACACTACATTGGCACCCATAGCAGATCACAAGGGCAATGCGTTCCAGTGCAGTGTGGGACCCCGCCTTTCCTGCGTTGTGTTCTACTGATACTTAGCTTACTCACGCAGGCTTCCTCCTCAATGGTTAACTGGTCCCCAAAAGCCTTTTCCCCTCACTGCTTGATAGGTTGCAGCTCTCCGATGTCATCCTGTACCATGCAGTACCAGCAGTCCTGCCCTGTATGGGAGGACGCCCAGGGCCCCCACATTCCAATGTGTCAGGCAGTAGAGGAGAGCGTCAGCTGCCAAGGGTGCAAGGAATAAAGCAAGTCATTTGCATTCATCATTCCCATTGCAAATCAAGAGGTTAAGGCTTTTTTTTTATCCTCAAAACTCAGCTTTGATGTAATTTCAAAAGCTGATTTCAATATTTTAGAATCTGCAGCTTTAATTAACATCCCTTAGTGACCCTCCCATAAAGAGCCTTGTGCAGGAGCTTCCTATTATGGGGTGACAACCGTCTCTTAATTGTGCCTACAAGTGGCCGTATTGATACGCATTGTACAAGCATTGTCCAAAGCTGGAGTGAATGCATTTAGACAGAATGTAGCTGAAAAGGCCTGCAGATCATCAGCACTAATGCAAAAAAGGTGAACAAGTTGCTATAGATAAAAAAAAAAACTCCCAGAGATCACATCATCCTGTACTGTCTTGTTGCTAGGATGTTGCTAAGAGACTTCTAGCGCTTACTGTTCACATCCACCATCACAGCAGCAAACTCTTTTTCTGATTTAGACTCCCCTGATACAGTAACTCTGAGCCCAGCATTTGAGATCACCCCCATCTTCACAGGAGTGTGAACAGTAAGAGCTAGGATTTTCTTAGCAACGTCCTAGCAACAAGGCAGGATGGAATGATGATATCTCCAGGGGTTTTTCAGTGGCCCACATCTATAGCAAGAGCAGTAGTCAACTTTGGTCAAAGCTGCACAGCTTGTTTTCCTCTACAGCAGTGGTCTCCAATCTGCGACCCGGGGACTGGATGTGGCCCTTTACTTGCCTTTATCTGGTCCTCAAGGCACTATTCCTCCCACTGATACCAACGACGTGGCACTATTCTTCCCACTGATACCAACGATGGGGCACTATTCCTCCCACTGATACCAACCATGGGGCACTATTCCTCCCACTGATACCAACGATGGGGCACTATTCCTCCCAGTGATACCAACGATGGGGCACTATTGCTCTCACTGATACCAACGATGGGGCACTATTCCTCCCACTGATACCAACCATGGGGCACTATTCCTCCCACTGATACCAACCATGGGGCACTATTCCTCCCACTGATACCAACCATGGGGCACTATTCCTCCCACTGGATACCAACCATGGGGCACTATTCCTCCCACTGATACCAACCATGGGGCACTATTCCTCCCACTGATACCAACCATGGGGCACTATTCCTCCCACTGATACCAACCATGGGGCACTATTCCTCCCACTGATACCAACCATGGGGCACTATTCCTCCCACTGATACCAACCATGGGGCACTATTCCTCCCACTGATACCAACCATGGGGCACTATTCCTCCCACTGATACAAACGATGGGGCACTATTCCTCCCACTGACACTAATGATGGGGCACTTCCTCCCACTGATACCAGTGATGGGGCACTATTCCTCCCACTGACACCAACAATAGGACACTATTCCTCAAACTGACACCAATGATGGGGCACTTTTCCTCACACTGAGACAACTGGGAACTACTCCTCCCACTTACACCAATGAAGGGGCGCTATTCCTCCCCCTAATACCAAAGATGCGTTGTTTTTCTCCCACTGATGTAGGGACAATTTCTACTCCCAATGGCCACAGTTCGGCCCCCCAAAAATCTGATGAACAGTATACCGGCCCTATGTTTAGAAAGTTTGGAGACCCCCTGCTCAACAGGCACCCCTAATCTGCATAAGCAGTTTTTGGGTAAAGGTGCACTATGCCTTTATTAAGTCTATGGGAACTTGGAGGCTAGATTCACATGACAATTTTTATACAGAACAGATGGGACATGGGTGTGCTCGAGAACAGAGAGGCCAGGATGAGGAACTACTGTTGCCTATGCAAAAACCTAACTGTGCATACAGCCTTCAAAAATTAGTCAAATATGAGAGGAACATGCCACACGATGCACTTCAACTTGTCTACGTTTCCTTCATCAGATACAAAAATTATATTTAAAAATAAAAACACAAAGAGATTTTAATCTGATTGGCAGCCAGGGAACAGAACAGACTAAGGATTGGCTCACACCTATCAGTTTTGTAATGTTTTTTGCATTGTGCTTTGCGTTTTTATCACATTTTGCATCTTTTTGCTTTCTTTTGTTTTGTCGAAGCAAAATGAGGTAAAATGTGGCAAAAGCACACTACATGCGTTTCAGCATCTTCTCCATTGAACTTTATTGTAGCAAAAACGCTGCTTTTTACCTTTAAAAAAGTCCATGACCCTTTCCAAAAACGCAGCAGCTCAAAAAAAAAAGCATAAAATGTGAACATGTCCCATAGGGAACCATGTTAAAATGGACTGTAGTGTGTTTCTGCAAAAGGCATTAAAAAACGCATTGGTGTGAACCAGGCCCAAGAGCTGATTCAGATGTGCAGCCAGGAGGTGGTAAAAGCAGTTGAGGCATGGTTTTACTGCCCCCTGATCGTCCAACTAAACAAAGGCATGCAGCTGCCCATGGCTGTAAAGATGCCATAGCAAAAATTAAAGGGTGTCTGTAGATAAAAACAAACTGTGCAGCTCTGACTAAAGTTGAATAATGCCTTTGGTACAGGTGTAGGCCATGTATGTACCTCATGAAGCCTGACTAGAAAACTCCCAGGACACTGCTAAGTGAGGCCTAGTCATTACTGTTCAAACCCCCTCACATGCGTTTATCTCTACTGATGCAGTAGCTTGGCATTTGAGAGCTCACTCCTGTGATGGCGAGGATGAACAGTAAGTCCTCATTTACACTGTACCATTTACAGCGGCTGTTTTTAGCTTTTGGCATTTTTTTCTATAGCCAGTAAATTCCCCAGCATGTTATCCTATGTGTCCATGCACACTTAGGCTTTAACCGATTTCCCGCCGCCCTACAGCAGAAATACTGCTACAGGGCGGCAAAAAAAACAATCACGTATATATGTGATTTTACATTTCTGGGTAGGGAGCCATTGGCGGCCTCAGCTGTCGAGCACCAGGTTCCGGACGGTGATTCCCTGCCGTCACCCAGCAATCGCCGAGTATCATCCACGGGGGAGAGAACTGTTTATAAACAATACAGATCTCTCCCTTGTCAGCTCCTGCACATTGCTTAGAATGCCTGCCGCAGTCCCGCTATAAGTTGCTGATCACTGCCATTACTAGTATTAAAAAAAAAAAAAAATTCCAGTATATTTACCGCCATTTGTAGAAGTTCTACAGTTCTACAGTTTTTAAGCGGTAAAAATGCTCGAACGCTGGTAAATGCGTTAAAACACGGCAAACCGGCAAGGTTTTTTTTTTTAGCCCCCCAATTTTTTTTTTTAACCGAAGAAAAATGCGGCTAAACGCTAATGCAAAAAAACTTGCGTTTTTAGGCTATGTTCACACTAGAGTTGTGTGCAGGCGGCAGAAAGGCATTTGGGAAGTGTTTTTACCGCTTCCAAAACGCCTCAGACAATTCTGCACATTGCAGCACATGGTGCTGTTCTAATGGGGGCGTTAGCGTAGTGGCGCAGCAAAACGGACGCCTCTGGTTGAGTCAGGAGGCGTTGAAGCCTCCTATTCTAGTCTATGGTGCCGCTCCGCAAATGCCCGGCCGGCGTTTGCGGTGCGGTTGCGACACGGTTTTTGCGGGGCGTTTGTGGAGCGGTAACACCATTCAAACTTCATTATAGGCGTATGTAGGGCGTTTTTAACGCTTGGCAAACGCCTAGCAACCACCGCTGAACCGCTCATGCGTTTGCAGAGCATTTGCTGAGCGTTAAAAAACACTCCGCAGACGCAGGACCAACGCTTGCCAAATGCTATAGGGGCGTTTGGCAAGAGTTGGTAAAACAGTCAAGTGTGGACGAGCCCTTAGAGTGACTCTGTACAGGTAACGCTACAGGCGGTTTTAAAACACCCAGTGTGCTTGAGGACTAATAGCTAGGCCTCACTTAGCAACGTCCTGGGAGTTTTCCGGTCAGGCTTTATGAGGTAC